GTGTAACAAGAAAGTCCCCTGATGGGTGCTGTGGCCCCTTTCTGCATTCGAGATCGTAAATATATCAATATATGCCGAAGATATTTATCGCCACGTATCAGTCATCAGCGATAGGCCTTCACCATGTGTCTTTATGAGGGCACCCTACCATCTGATCATTTCAAATGTTAGACTAATTTTTTAAGATTACTAAGAGTAATTGATTACAATTTTATATCGCATCGGCAATATTGCAGCCATAACGCTATGAGAACAAGTTAGTTATTATATAACACCTGTCGGCAATGGACAGTAAAACAGCAAGGTAAATATCACAGTTTTGGGGTTTAAAACAAACCAGATCAAAATTAAAACAAATGTATTTTCAATAGATTAGTTAATTAAAATTAAAACGAGCAACTGAAGCTAGACCACGTTACTGGGAATCATGCAGACGTTCAGTGCTTTTGGTTCATGCATGATTCTCAAGTGGTTATATGGACTGCTTACCAATATTAAAAACAAACAAACTATAATCAAGGAAAGATAAGTCAGATATTTCTTCACATAAAACATGATTGTTTTCTATATGTTATTTTGAAGAACTAAGTCAATTGAAGCCATTATATAAAATATTTCAGAAAACATGTAAAACATACATAACCCTGACACGTGTGACGTCAGTAACATGGGAAAGCATCTAAGCATCGTCAAGAATGTTGCCTTCAATACGTCAACAATTGCCGTTGCATTAGATCGACTTATCTGTATGGCACTAGGAATCAGTTGGGTCACACGGGTGTCTTTGTTGAATTGTTAACTTGAATGAGACCATGCAAACGAGATATCTTCAGCAGCCCTCGAAGAGATAGAAATTCATGTCGACCAACAAATGATAACAAATCATTATCCAAGATTTATCCAGTGAATTCTATAATGTGGATCACACTGCGTATCTTTTGCTTTTGTAGCCATAAAACCGCTGACAAATAACTGGGCATACCAGGAACATTACACTGTACGTGATACATCATTTAGGGGTATCTGATGACACCTGACCTGACTGTGCTGCAGAGCGAGAAACTACGCTAGAGCTATATGGTTGGTCTCGAAAGGATAGCCGATTTCAACATTGTAATTTGAAACCTTCCTTCTCTTTAATATCTGTTTAGATCCGCATCCGTACACGTGTCCATGCTGCCAGTTTATGTGCAGGTCATAGAACATTGATACAAGTAATGTATACAATAGATATATAGTATGTTGCAGTGTAAACGAAAACCTGCTTATTGTGCCACTGGCTGCGCTTGTTTACAGGAGAGATTTGACAGTAACTACTGCCTCAAAAGAGAGATCTTATTGTAATTCTATTATCTTTGTGCAACTATATTGTCTGTCACAGGAGAAGTCGTAGTGCTGCACGTTACTCATATATGTGCAACTATAAATAGGGCTCCTGTCCTGTCTTACACTTAGAAACAGATAACACGTGGTGTCTTCTAAGGCAAGAGACCTTGTCCGAAATATACCCTTGGTCACCAAACAGGGAATGGGTACTCAGTTGGAGGGGGTAATGTGATGGTACACCTTCTAGCTGCTGATCATGAGACAGCCTGGTCTGTGTACTCCCCATGGGGTTTAGAGGGAAATATCAGTACACACTGACGCAAAGACCTTGGTAATATAGTGGGTACTCATTTGTTGAGGTACGATGAGGTAGCCAAGTGGTTTAAGCTATGCAAATATTGAAATTCAAAATGAACAACAGAATCAGGCGTCTTTCTTATTTCCAAACATAATCTTAACATGTCCCATTTTCATTATGGGAACGATCCGGTAGCGTAGCCTAATGGTTAAAGTGTTCTCATCGATTCTCCACATGGTTACAATGTGTGAAACCCATTTCCTGTGTCCCCATGTCGTGTTATTGGTAGAATATTGCTAAAATCGGCGTATAACCATACCCACTCACTCAATTCTTTGGTAAATAGGACCTGGCACATTGAATTTGTGTCATGTGTAATCTTTATCACAACAGGAATGTGTTTACACATTCGTCATTTACCATATCTATTTCTTTGCGTGCAGTCTCACCTTAAATTTTTCTGCAAAATGTATCAACGGATACATTAGATTGTCTTGTCTGATAGGCATTACTTAGAAGACATGTGTATTGTTGTTCATACAAGAGACATAGATATCTCTCTCTGCTGATAAGATAATATTATTCAAGAAATTATAGTCACTGTAGTTCCCAGTAAGTTAGCAAAGTCAGTGGAAATAACATTGATATCAAATTGTCGTTGAATAAACAAGCTCAGATCAAGCCAAAACTTCTTCACGTGCTGACGGGAAACAAAGAATTTATATCCATTTTCTCTAACAACTCAGTTTATATATTGTTCAGATAAAGCATCGGAAGCTTTCTCAGAATCAATCAACATTAACAACCCTTTCGTATATTGTGTCTTATTTTCGAACAAGAGCTTCATGTTTTCACAAATAAGTCTACATGGAATGAATCCAGTTTGGTTTTCATGAATAGCTGTATCCAGAGCATATGCCTATTGATATACATGTTCAGTTTCTATTTACTAACGTGATGGGGCGACAGTGTTTTAGTAGTCTTGTGTCTTTTCCCGATGTAGGTATACAGGTAATAATACCCATTTTCATAGTCAGGGTCAGTTGATTGTTGTTAAATGATTGTTTAATATATAAAAAAATCCAATTACCTTACAAACGCCACAAAGAACTCTATTGAAAATCCGCCTAACCCCAGAGTTTGATTATGTTTCACTGACCTTATGGCTCTGGATATTTATTCCATTTCAACTGCATTTTTCCCGAATTTTACTCGACATAAATTGTCAGTATTGGCGTTTCCATTTCTTTATATATATCTAGAGTTTCTTCATCAGTTTCACTTTTACAGGTGTCATAGAATTTGACTAATCTAGATCAGTTTTCAATTTGTGACAATTTCTCTGTTATCTGAAACTTGATTATGAATAGATTTGCTGGTGTAGATTTGCATGTTTCCAGGAAAAGAAATTCGTTAATATTAAACTTCAGAATCAGATGGTCAGAACCCAATATATATAACTTGTGTGTTTAATCTATGATAAAAAGGAAAAAATAGCGCCAATCAAGAATGAGCCAAACCAGATTTAGTTTCAACTGACCAGAACGAATTTTACTGAGCAAGAACAACGACGTTAGAAGATGGTACTTCGTGTTACCCTGCCTGGCGCTCGGCAATAAAGGGCTAAAACAAGGGCTGGTCGGCTCGCAGTCAATATACTGTTTCTGAGAGGGGTATTCTGTTAAACTGCGGCGTGGCATCTCAGTAGGGTTAACATTATAAAATAAGCATCAGTCCGGACAAGTACAAGCAGACACAGACACACACATAGACACACACACAGACACACACACACACACACACACACACACACACACACACACACACACACACACACACACACACACACACACACACACACACACACTTCATTTAGGGGGCACGGGTGGCCCAGTCGTCTGAAGCGCCGCGATTCGATGTGCAGAGTTGCGTCCCTTGGGCACGCCAGAAACCTATGATTGTGGGTGGGAATCCCGGTTCGCCCCGATTATAATTTAATGTTTGTCAGCACCATACCCGTGCTCGTGGGTTTCACCGAAGTGGTAAACGTCTGAGACCTGCATCACTTCGGGCTTTCCTCCCACATAAAGTTGACACGCCGCGATATGACTGGAATACTGTTAAAAGTGGCGTTAAACCCAAATCACTCACTCACTTCATTGACATACAGGGCCGTTACAAAGAAACACAACCTGCTGAAAAACATTGGATATGACACATCCTAGAGATTTAAACTACTTCAACACTCGGGGCACAGCCGGAAACATTACAACTTGTCAGTTAATAACCATATATGCATGTAGAGGCACAAATTTTAGTTTCTCACCACCAGTATGTACACTGCGGGTGTAATAACAGACCTTATTACCTGCCCGTGAAGAGATCACCCGTTTAATAAACATGCAGCTGTATTACGCATTGTGTAATTCCAAAACGCGTGCTTATGTACTCTCGAAACAAGTTTCACGAACAAATATTGAAAGCTCTCAACATCCCTTTGCTTATTCAACGACATTGCGTGTGGAGATGATAGATCACTGAGAGGAGCTTATGCACACTCGATGACCCAAACAACCTTGTTGCTAGGCTGACGTCACATGGCATTGTTTCGCCGATGGAACTTGCAACAAAATTCCACAAATAACGTCATCGGGTAGTGCGACGTAATTGTAAAATTTGAGGTGCAAGGCGCCGTTCCACAAGGCGATCGTACTGTAGCGACAGTCGTTAATCTATTTTAAAGTATGTGAGTTCCGATAACCTTAGCGCTACGATAATTTGGTGGAACGGACGCCTGAATTCCAAAGGTGGACCGTTGCATGGTATTAAATTCATACGTTTCAACTTTTGACGTGTTTGAAGTATTATTCAGTCAAACTGAATTAGATTATGCCATGGATCGTCAGGGTGTCAGCCTATTCACACTCAACAGTATAATTCTGAAAATGATATGAATGGCAAGTAATAAATAAAATACTCAACTCGCTCCCGTGTAAAACTAATTTTATGAAACTCGTGAATAGTTGTGGTATCTCACTCGTTTCATAACATGTACGTGTATTACATGGGAGCTCGTTTAAAATTCTATATATGTTGCATCTCATTCGGAATCCAACATCTGCTGCAGGATGTGTAGTGCTAGACACACACTGGCAACAACTGTGCAGCTGGAAATTAAAGAGCTCCGAGCTGCAACATTCATTATTTGTATTTGTACTGATCTCTGAAACTCCGGACTAGGTGTCCGTTTCAGTTAAGCTGTATTTACCTTATTGCAGGTGACACTGTTTATTCCTACGAGCTAGCGTGAACTGGACATATTTATATACATATAAATACTGACTTATCATGACGCTATAGATTGACTACAGTCAAGATGATGGTGAAAGAATTGATGATCATATTGCTCTTTGTATGCGTGACAATTCGCAAGACCACTTCGCGGGTTCTGCCAACCTCAACACCATGCATTGCCACTCAGACGTTTCTCGATGAATTGCGGCAGATGCTTAAGACGGAACAGAATACGTCGAATTCTGGTAAGACAGATTTTTTCCTCCGTTGACCTCCTTGTTTCTATATCTTTGGATTAAACAAAATTCTATTTGTTGATGAATGTCCATTTTTTCATCAACTTAAAAGGCTGAGGCTGCACATAAAGGGATGATGACTGCCAAATGACGGAAACGTGTAAGTTGAACACATTCAAGCTGAGGACACACTCTTGTACAGCCTACCGGGCAGGTGACGCCCTCAGCCAGACTTTTACCATGTGTTTGTTCACGTCGTTATTCTGTCATAGGCAAAGGGGTTCATTACTTTATCATGAAAACCAGGGGAAAGGCTAATATCGAGGAATGTTTTATCTCTGGGTTGTGTTTGCAAGTGCTAAAAATGAAAGAGGAAATGTGAAAGTGCATCAGTGTTTATGAAAATAATGTTCTTTGTACAAGTAATCATGTCATCTAATCAACGAAATACTCATGTATTTCATATCAATATCCGTTAAAACATTACATTAGGGTATATCACAGAATATGAGTGTCTCTTTAGTATTAGTTTTGTAAATATATTATTGAAATTGTGTCCCCAGGTAGCAGGGTCCGCCCAGGTGGAGTGAATCAAGGTTTATGACACAGTTTGTCAGTACATTTGTAGATTTTTCCCAAACAAAGTAAATGTCCACAACAATTATCCACGATTCACACGACAATTATACAGACATGTATGCATATATATTGAAATACCAATATTTTTGTGTTACAGGTAAGGGTACTGGTGGTGCTATCTACACGCGATGGGGTAAAACAGAATGTCCGTCTAAAACGGAACTTGTGTATAAAGGTGAGATAAACCTGATATCCTGTATTCAAACCATTTCTTTCTTTGATATACAGTCAAACTGTGAACGGAGCTAGATTTTTAGTTGTATCTAATTAATACATATAGTGCCTAGTGAGATTACGGAGTGAACTATGCATGCAGATATTGTCTAGTCACATTGTGAAGTGAGCTATGCATGCATATATTATCTAGTCACATTGTGAAGTAAGCTGTGCATGCAGATATTGTCTAGTCACATTGTGAAGTGAGCTATACGTGCGTATATTGTCTAGTCACATTGTGAAGTGAGCTTTGCATGCATATATTAACTAGTCACATTGTTAAGTGAGCTATGCATGCAGATATTGTCTAGTCAAATTGTGAAGTGAGCTATGCATGCAGATATTATCTGGTCACGCTGTGAAGTGAGCTATGCATGCAGATATTATCTAGTCACATTGTGAAGTGAGCTATGCATGCAGATATCATCTAGTCACATTGTGAAGTGAGCTATGCATGCAGATATTATCTAGTCACATTGGGAAGTAAGCTATGCATGCAAATATTGTCTATTCACATTGTGAAGTGAGCTATGCATGCAGATATTGTCTAGTCAAATTGTGAAGTGAGCTATGCATGCATATATTACCTAGTCACGTTGGGAAGTAAGCTATGCATGCAGATATTGTCTAGTCACATTGTGAAGTGAGCTATGCATGCAGATATCATCTAGTCACATTGTGAAGTGAGCTATGCATGCAAATATTATCTAGTCACATTGTGAAGTAAGCTATGCATGCAAATATTGTCTAGTCACACTGTGAAGTGAGCTATGCATGCAGATATTGTCTAGTCAAATTGTGAAGTGAGCTATGCATGCATATATTATCTAGTCACGTTGGGAAGTAAGCTATGCATGCAGATATTGTCTAGTCACATTGTGAAGTGAGCTATGCATGCAGATATTATCTAGTCACATTGTGAAGTGAGCTATGCATACAGCTATTGTCTAGTCACACTGTGAAGTGAGGTATGCATGCAGATATTATCTAGTCACATTGTAAAGGAGCTATGCATACAGCTATTGTCTAGTCACACTGTGAAGTGATCTATGCATGCAGATATTGTCTAGTCACATAGTGAAGTGATCTATGCATGCAGATATTGTCTAGTCACATTGTGAAGTGATCTATGCATGCAGATATTGTCTAGTCACATAGTGAAGTGAGCTATGCATGCAGATAGTATCTAATCCCATTGTGAAGTGAGCTATGCATGCAGATATTATCTAGTAACATTGTGAAGTGAGCTATGCATGCAGATTTTGTCTAGTCACATTGTGAAGTGAGCTATGCATGCAGATATTGTCTTATCCCATTGTGAAGTAAGCCATGCATGCATATACTGTCTAGTCACATTGTGAACGGAGCTAGTTTTTCAGTGGTATCTAATCAATACATATAGTGCCTAGTGAGATTACGGAGTGAACTATGCATGCAGATATTATCTAGTCACATTGTGAAGTGAGCTATGCATGAAGATATTACCTAGTCCCATTGTGAAGTGAGCTATGCATGCACTTATTATCTAATCCCATTGTGAAGTGAGCTATGCAAGCAGATATTATCTAATCACACTGTGAAGTGAGCTATGCATGAAGATATTATCTAGTCACATTGTGAAGTGAGCTATGCATGCATATATTATCTAGTCACGTTGTGAAGTAAGCTATGCATGCAGATATTGTCTATTCACATTGTGAAGTGAGCTATGCGTGCAGATATTGTTTAGTCACATTGTGAAGTGAGCTATGCATACAGCTATTGTCTAGTCACACTGTGAAATGAGCTATGCATGCAGATATTATCTAGTCAGATTGTGAAATGATCTATGAATGATCTTTGCATGCAGATATTATCTAGTCACATTGTGAAATGAGCTATGCATGCAGATATTGTCTAGTCACATTGTGAAGTGAGCTATGCATGCAGATATTGTCTAGTCACATTGTGAAGTGAGCTATGCATGCCACGATTGTCTTGCTATATTTTGCGGTGATCAATGCACTCATGAGTTATGCATACATATATTACTTTGTCCCATTGTGTAGTAAGCTACGCATAGGCATATGTATACGATCTTGTCAAATTGTGTTGGGAACCACGCATTGTGTCACCCTTCAGATTCAACAGAATGTATTACCAATTCAAATTTTGTCAGTGTAATGTTTACCTCCACTTTCTGACTGGTTGATCAGACAACCATGTTGCCATATTGCACAACCTGTTGTAAGAAGTCATGGCAGTTCGTACTTCCTTATCAAAACTTATTGTTTTCATTTGATTTTGCCCTTGCAATTGACATACATTTAACATCTTGTATTTTGTGCTAAAACACCATTATCATCAATAAGCAGGACAGGTAAACTTTATCTCCGGACAAGTGTTTCTTACTGTCTAGTTGTCCAGGGACAAGTTCACAAATTTGATATTTCCTCACCCTTGCAATGCATACATATATAATACACATGCTACTAGTCTAGTCATGTTATTTAGTGCACACATATGCAGATACACATTTTCTCATCACATTGTGTAGTAACCGGTGCGTACAAAGATTGCCTAATCACACTCTATATTGAGCTATGCATACATAGTTTGTCTAATGGATGGCTCGATGGATGGATGTATGAACAAACGAAAAGATGGACAGATGGATGGATGGATATTTGCAAAATGTTTATGATAACGGTGCGTTTTAAATGTAAGGGATATATACCTTAATAAGATTAAGATTATAATATTCATTATATCTGCCTAACCACAAATGCCAACCATAATTAACCGTGTATGTAATGTACAATGTACCTGTATTTACATTGATTATCTTTTGACAAGGTCCTTGCTAAATAAGATATGTCTACTATGTATACCAGGCGTACGGGACGCAGCCGAATTCCGGGTTTTTTTTAGAAGTTCAGGTTATGCACACATACAAGATTTACAAGTTCTCATCAATATTTCGAAAAATTAAAATACATCTAGTTATCACATATTATTCTCTCAGGTAAATGCAAAGGGGGGACATCAAAATACTGTCAAAGGTCTGTCTATATCGTCGAGAGTCATTGTTGGAAATGGATAATTTTATCATAGTTAAAATAACAATTCTCACCACATCCCGGGATGAGATAAACATTGTATTTGAAAAAATAAACTAAAACTGTGTTGTGCAGCTTTACTACTAAAACTGACCACAATTCTCTTGTTACGGTAAAATGTATGCGTAATTCAGGGATGCATCTGTCGCAGGTGTGCGTGCAATATATGTGACGTAATAGGCGTCTCATGACCACGCGAAACGTCATTCTGTAAACAGTAAACAGTATCCAAAATGGTGAAAAGTTCAAGGGGTCAAGAGGATTGACTTATGTCCTTTGAGCACCCATGGGTTTAAGCCAGATTCTGTATCTAAGTAACCAGAACATGTAAGTGATGATTGTTTTGACTAAGCTAACTGTATCATTATCACAGGAATAGCTGGAGGAACCTACTTCAGTTATAAGGCTGGACCAGCTAATATACTGTGTCTGCCTGAGAATACTGAATATGGAAACTACACCCCTGGATTTCAGTCTGATGGTGCCATCTATGGTACTGAATATGAAACCAATAAACACACCAGTTTCAAAAACCTCAACGACCATGACGTTCCCTGTGCCGTGTGTAGAAGTAGAAGCAAGACATGCGTCATCATGGTGCCTGCCAAGATGTCCTGCTTCCCTGGATGGCGTGTCGAGTACACAGGGTACCTGATGGGTGGCCATTACAATTATGCTGCTAGTGAGTATCTATGTGTTGATGGAGATGCAGAGAAGGTTCGCGGTGGCCATTAAAACAAGCACGGGCAACTATTGTATCTTGTTGAAGGTGTTTGTGGTTCCCTGCCATGTCCACCGTACAAGAATCACTGGGAGTTAACATGCGCTGTTTGCTCTAAGTAAGCCACAGATTTGATCCTTCACTGACATAATTGAATAAAGCATATTGACATACATGTATATGAATTATTGTGAGCATCAAAACAATTATAGACGGTTTATGCTTTTATTTAACTCTGATGTGTTAGGTTGCACACATGATTTCGTTATTATGGGGAATGCTGGTTGAATGATGTGGCAAATAGTTCAATTGAATCTGGAATCACATAGTTGATGCAGTTATGGAGTAACTATGTTCATTCAGTTGAGTGATCGAGCTGATCTCCTGCTCAGCTAGCTATCAGTGCAATAGGCAGGCAAAGAACACGAAATCATTTACCAAGTTTTAATTTTGTTTAAAACAACAATTACAAACAACAATAACTATGGTACTTTAATTCACATTTACAAACTTTCTAAATACCCAAATTTCTATTACGATCACGATTACTAAATGACAAGAGTGTCGCATGATGTTATGATGATATGTTTATAGCCTATAAGTAGGTCACTTCCCATGCACACATGCCGGTGGCCTTCTGGATCTGTTGTATCATGAATTATAAAGCGTGGCATGACGGATGTAGTTTTAACGCTTGCAAGACAAAGCTTACCTGTTCTTATGTCACTTTAGTTTGCGGATATTTGCTTCGTTTCACTATATATATATATATATATATATATATATACTCAACACCAAAAGTTCCTGTGACACCAATATTTAAGTATATTTTTCAAACAAGTAAAGTTTGGTTTTCAATATTGTAGTACATGTATGGAATCAAGGCACAAAAACGAAACTGCTACAGAAAAGCATGCATTCCTTGCAAAAGTTGACTTTGATGCAAGACCCATGCATTTCACTACCCAAGAATGGGTATAAAAACATGTGCGTTAACGGGATTCCATATGCATTGTTTGGCATCGTGCTAACAACAACCACTCAGAAAAACAACAAAATTACACAATTATTCAACATTACGAAATGCCACGCCTGTCCGAAAATGAGCGTCTGCGAGCCATTGGTAAGCTTGAAGCACATTCGAGTCAACGTGATGTTGCAAACAATTTAGCGTCAACAGAAACACCATTTGGTGTTTATGACAAGATAAAGGGTTATGCTGGTATTGCAACAGGACAGGTCATTATAAATACCAATGCCCGGAGTTTAATCACCATAGGAATCAAGGACGGGGAGACCGTTGCCATCCTTTAAACTAGATAGGTCTCTACCTGGGGGAACACAGGCGGAGACGAATCAAAAAGGGGAATTATTTACAATCAATTTGGAGGGAAACCCAAACTCATGTGTTGTATCAGTAGTAAGACGTAGGTATAGGGCATTGGATGATTCAGGAGCACAAGTATCTTTAATTCACCCAAGAGTATATGAAAATTTAAGAGGTGTTTCAAAGTTAACTTCAGAAAACATTTCTACAAACAGTCAATGGAAGTCCAGTGGCTGTCGAAGGATGTACAACAATACCATTTAGGGTACGGAAACAGCTCATGAAGCATAAGTTTTATATTGTTAGTGGTATCAACAGGAATATAATTCTTGGACGAGACTGGTTGACTGACAATGGAGTGATCTAGGAAGATTGAAAGTAGGTGATGCTTATGTTCCTTTAGAAGAAGACATACAAATAGCATCAATCCTCAGACTAACTAACAGGTCAATCATTAAGCCCCAAACAGTTAATGAGATAAAGGTTAAAACAAAGAAAAAGTCGTATTTTGACACGACAACGTTGTATGAGATCCATGGTGAAGAGGGAAATTACATAAATTCAGAACCAGGATTGATGGTAGGAAACTCACTGGCCAGGTTGAACAAGCAAGGTGAAATACCAGTCATGTTAGTCAATAATACAAATAAAACATTCCGACTCAGGAAAGGATGCATCCTAGGGAAGATAGAACCCATGCCTGAGGCTAGTGCAGTACTGTTAAAAGACATGACAGATAGGATGAACTCAAAAATGACAGAAAGAGATAACAGAATAAGTGAGGCAGATATTGATGTGCCTGTGGAGCACAGGGAGGCCATTACCAAGTTACTCTATAACCATAGAGACCTGTTCGCAAAAAAACTGACATGGACTTGAGTCATACAGACACAGTTAGAAACTTGACACGGGTGATCACGCCCCAATCAAACTAAAAGCTTATAGGTCACCCTTAAACAAGAGGAAGATTGTTGACAAGGCAGTAGAGGACATGTTGGCTGCAGGGGTTATCAAGAGATCTAGATCACCATGGAGTTTTCCTATTGTAGTTGTTGACAAATAGGATGGATCAAAACGTTTTTGTGTTGATTTTAGACAATTAAACAAAGTCACAAAACAAATATCACATCCTCTGCCAGTAATTGATGATATTTTATCATCATTAGGTAATGCATCCTACTTCAGCTCCTTTGATTTGAAATCAGGATACTGGCAAGTCCTTATGGATGAAAATGATAGTGAAAAGACAGCATTCTCATGTCACCGAGGGCTGTTTGAATTCTCAGTTATGCCATTTGGTTTGAGTAATGCACCTTCTATATTCATGGAGCTCATGAATATTGTACTTCAAGACTGTGAAGCTTTTGCTATTGCATATCTTGATGACATTCTCATATTCTCATCAACCAAAGAAGAGCACATGAAACACATTGGAATAGTACTAGACAAATTGAGAGAACACAGTCTTAAGTTGAAATTGAGTAAATGCAGTTTTCTAAAAGAAGAAACAAATTACTTTGTTTTATTGTCAACAAGGAGGGAGTGAAACTAGATATGGGAAAAGTAGAAGCCATAAGATCAATGCCCCCTCCTTCATCAGTTAGGGAGGTCAGAAGTTTTTTGGGAATGTGTAGCTATTACAGAAGGTTCATACTTAATTTCTCAAAAGTAGCTGAACCCATAATAACCTTGACAAAGAAGTATGCTACGTTCAAATGGTCCACAGAATCCTAAGAAGCGTTTGACTTTCTGAAGAGCAGCCTAACTGTTGTTCCACTCTTAGCATATCCAGACACCAACAAACCATATGTGTTGTATACGGACGCTAGTGACATATGTGTAGGTGCATGTCTAACTCAGGCATGTGAAGATGGGACAGAATTTCTCCCAGGTATTCGTAGTGAAAAACGGATCTATTTCCTATCAAGTAAATTGAGTGGTTCTCAGGTTAGATGGTCTACAATTGAGAAAGAAGCTTACGCTATCCATTATGCATTACAGAAATTAGATCACTACTTACACAATGCAGATTTTGTGATTCGGACCGACCACAAACCCCTTAAATGCTTGTTAGAATCACCAATGCAGAACAGAAAGATTCAAATGTGGGCAATAGGCATTAGTGGTTACAATTATAACATAGAGTATATCGCAGGTACTGAGAATACTTGTGCTGACCTACTGTCTTGAGTGACAAGTCTAGGAGTGAAAACATGACAGTTACTGACATTGACCTAATTCAAGAAGATGGAGTTGACATCAGTGAGAATACTTTGCAGATTAATGCTCTGAATTCAAATAAGTTTGACCCGAAGATATTTGCTAGTTGTGAAGTTACAGAACAGGAATCCCCTGAAAAAGCCAAAGTGGGCATGTCTTGATCCGACATGGTGACTGAACAATCAAATAATGTCAAAATTATGGAAGCAAAGAGAGCCATGAAAACAGGACAGGCAGGCAAAGTAGAGCAAAACAGGATGATTATCATAGAAGATATAGTGTACTTCAAATCTGACCCTAACGACGATCCCATAATACGCCTGTGGGTACCAAAACAACTTCAGAGCTTAGTCGTTAAACAGTATCATGATGACAATGGACACATGGGCATAGATAAGACATTTGATTCTATCAAACAGAAATATTACTGGCCTAAGATGTACAAACATCTCTATGAGCACATCAACCAATGTGTCCCTTGTCAAGAGAGTCATGAGGAAACAGAAAACGCCTATCCAAGAAACAGACATTCCCCCATATCCATTTGCAAAAATAGGATTAGATCTGTCAGGGCCTTACCCTAGATCTCTGTCAGGGAACAAATATATCATCAGTTTTGTAGACCATTACAGTGGATGGCCAGAAGCATTAGCGGTGCCAGACAAAAGTGCGGAAAATGTAGCTCATCTTTTAATTGAAGAGATCTTCCCAAGATTTGGATGACCCTTAAAAATTGTCACTGACAATGGCACAGAAAATGTAAACAGAGAAATGAGAGAGACATTAGAAACACTCAACATAGATCATATCACTACGTCTTACTACCGACCACAAGGAAATGCTAGGGTGGAAAGATTTCACAGAACCCATTATGATGTTCTGTCAAAGAAGTTAAAAGACGATCTCACGACCTGGGATCTCTATTTGAACCAAGCATTAGCTGCAGTTCGATTCAATATAAGTGAATCTTCGAAATGCTCTCCTTACTTCCTGTTATACAATAGGGATGTTGTGTTACCAATAGGTAACCTATTACATCCTAGAAGAAAGTATGCGGGTGAAGAGCAGCATGGGATAGCATTGCAGCAACAACACAAGGCTTTCACATTAGTGCATAGGCATTTAAAGAAATTAAAGCGAAGGCAGAAACATTATGCTGATAGGATACCCTATAATGTTTCGCTGTCCAAGCCAGAGCACGTGGTGTCAACATTTGGTCATTACATATCAGATAGCCTGGATTTAAATATCCCTTACACAGCAGGAATAAGAACTGCTGACGTACACCACGATGCAAACTCTGGGCTACCACGTCAACCCAGATACCCCTTAAAAGTGGAGGTGTTTGAGATAGACGGCAGACAGCCCGAGACGAGCAACCTCACCAGCAACACAGTGAAAAACGTCCCGAGAGCCAGAGCCAGCAGTAGAACTATCTTGTACTGATGAAATAAATCTTCATTCCTGAACAACGAAACATGTTTTGTTACACGAGTCTCGTTTTCACCTCAGCCACAGCGATGGACGGATACGAGTGTACCGACGACGAGGTAAACGTTACGTCAATCATTGTTCATATGGAAGAAGATCAGTTCGAGGACGGCAGCGTTATGGTATGGGGTGGGATTACAGCAAGTCAGAGGACCCGTTTGATAGTGGTAGAGGGAAATCTCAATGGACAGCGCTACCGCGACGAGATCATCGGCCCTATTGTTCAACCGTTTTTGCGTCATCATGGCCCAGGCATTACCTTTCAACATGACAACGCCCGGCCTCATATTGCTCCACTTGTTCAGGATTGTCTTCAACAAAACAATGTGAATGTCATCCCCTGGCCGGCTCGTCCCCCTTATCTCTCACCAATCGAGCTCATGTGGAAAGAGATGGATCGGCGCCTTCAACGTCAACCACGTGTTCCACAGACACCCAAGGAACTTTCGAAACATGCTCCAGCAGATATGGAAAGATATCCCACAGGACTTTGTGCGACGCCTTGTCCATTCAATGAGACGAAGATGTGTTGCTTGTATCGCAACCAGAGGTGGACACACACGCTATTGATTTGTAAATTGACATTTTGGCTTGTT